ACTGGTTAACACTAACTGAGAACAAGTGGGACTCTCACACATGGCAGGTGGGAATGTAAATTGGTAGAAGCACTTTGGAAAACCTTTTCGTAGAAGCACTTTGGAAAACCTTTTAGCAGTATCTAGACAAGTAAATGAAGCTGAAGAAAATGAAAACAAGCACAAAGAGCACAGCCTTCGATATGGATTACATCTCAAAGTCAAGAAAACAAAAATCCTCACCACTGGACCAATGAACAACATTCTTATCAATGGAGAAGAGATTGAGGTTGTCAAGGACTTCATTCTTCTTGGATCAACTATCAACACTCACAAAAGCAGCAGTCAAGAGATCAAACGACGTATTGCATTAGGCAAATCTGCTGCACAGGAACTTTTTAAAGTATTGAAGAGCAGAGATGTCAGCTTGAGGACTAAGGTGCGCCTGACCCAGGCCATGGTGTTTTCAATAGCCTCATATGGATGCGAAAGCTGGACAGTGAATAAGGAAGATCGTAGAAGAATTGATGCCTTTGAGTTGTGGTGTTGGAGGAGAATACTGAAAGTGCCATGGACTGCCAAAAGAACCAATAGATCTGTTTTGGAAGAAGTGCAGCCAGAGTGCTCCTTGGAGGCCAGGATGGCTAAGCTTCATCTCTCATACTTTGGACATATTGTCCGGAGGAAACAGTCACTGGAGAAGGATGTCATGCTGGGTAAGGTGGAGGGTCAGAAAAAAAGAGGAAGACCCCTAACGAGATGGATTGGCCAGGTGGCATCATTGATGGACTCAAGTGTGGCAGCGGTAGTGAGGTTGGCCCAGGATCAGACATTGTTTCGTTCTGCTGTGCATGGGGTCGCTATGAGTCGGTTCCGACTCATACCCGTTATTAAATTTATACTGAGTCTCAAAAAGTTGAGAGAGAGATAAAAAAGTATTGGTTAAGAAACCCACTTTTTTTTTTTTTTTTCTTTTGGGGATCCAGCTTTCTTCTTGCTCAATGTTTTTTTCTTCTTTTCTTACAAACTCCTTTGTCTACTGAAACATAAAGCAAAGGAAACATTCAGGCAAAGGGAATTGCACGGACCAAGCTCCATATACTGCCACAGCTACAGCCAGAGATTCAGTCCACAAGTATTCTTCCTCCAGTCTTTAAAAGGAATTCTGGTGTGGTGCTCTAGGACAAACTGCTCAATGTGTCTTACGTGGACTTTTCCCTTTGCTTTAGGAGTACTATAATCCAGGCTTCAAATCAGAGCATAGCTTCCGCTTCTCTCTTGCCACAATGACTGGTGTGGGGATGGGAATAGGATCAAACTAAATGAGTCAATCCCAGAAGTTCTGTTGGAATGAGCAGAAAAAAGATGTTCTTTCCACTGTGGCTGCTGATCTGTCAGGTTAAACCTGGAGCTGCCAGTAACCATCTTGTCATCTCTTGGAGACAGCCAGACAGAGGAAAGGCAGAGAGAGATGAAGTTATTCCTGTATCTGGAGTTTTCATAACATAAATGAATCAACTTCCCTCTTTAGTTAACAATTTTGATATGGTTTTCTTATAGGTATAATAAATTATACTTGGAATCTTGGACAAAATTTGAGTGCTATGGCAGGAAGTTTGGAGTAAAAAATAAACATTGAGCTTCATCCTGTTTGGTGGGTGTTATTACTGCCCTTGTCACAAATGGCTTGTGGCTATGAGACCATGGCCCTGCTGGGGCTGGGGAGGTTGGCCTCAGACTCTATTGGAAGGCCTCTAAACCTAGTCTGGAAAGGGCTCTGGCTGAGGAATCTAAAGAACTGATTCCATTCTCCATTCCTTGTGGAGACACATTGTACAAATTACTACAGCTCTTGAGCCTGCATGTTTCTCTATAAAAATATGAGTATAACCCAGCTTAAAAGGTTGACATGCAGATCCAGTGACATAAGTGTCAAAATGATAGTTTCTCAACTTCTTCAGCTGTTTCCTACCCTTGGCCAAATTAGTACCTACATCCTAGGAACTCCCGCAGGGCCCTGTATATGCAATCCTCTGACCCATTGTTATAGTGATCTTTAGCTGTATATATGAGCTCTCCAAAACATGGTCAATTGGCATAACAGTCCACAAAGACAATGCTCTACATTCTACTTTGGTGAGTTATGGACTGGGGTCTTTAGAGCTCATGAGCAGCCAGCCATTCTCCTGTCTGGAGGAAGAAGAGTGATGAAAATTGAAACTGCTTGGAAACAGTCCAATGAGCTAATAATGGACCATGTGAACATCAGTCTCCATGATCTTGAGACCAGAACTAGATGGCACACGGTTACCACTGCCAACTGAATTGACAGGGATCACATTAGAAGGTCCTGGATAGAATGGGACAAAATATGGAACACAACTCAGAATCATAAAAAAGATCAGGCTTACTGGTCAGATAGAGACTGGTGGAATCCTTAAACTAGGCCTCATGGTCACTCATTGGATCTGGATCTGAACTCACCCCTGTGGTTCAATTTTCAGCCAAGTAATAGACAGGTATATAGATCAGACAACAGAATTAATGAGTTACGCACACCATAGAATGGTCAACTATTTGCGCTCAAATGGGCGGCGTTTATCCAAGGAGAAAATGCAGAAAGGTTGGCAAGGACTGGAAACAAGAAACATGGGAGGAAGTGGAATAAGTGATGTTACATTGAGGGGACTGCCATCACTGAGATGAAGTTGAGTGCAGGGTTTGCTGATAATTTGCTCTGTAAACCTCCCTCAATTCACAATAAAAAGTCAGGTCAGAATGTTCATTTCTGCCTTACCATTCTCAGAACTGTCTGGGCACATAGGTGACAAGGAATCCTGAGTCCAGATTAAGAGGTCCCGCAGGCCAAAGGCTCATCGTGGTCTGGTGCTTACTCACCCCCGCTGCCCTTCACTTCTTTGCCTGGAACATGGACATCCTTGGTAAAGGTAGAGGGACCCTGGGGAATGTTTGAGGCTGTTTGTACTGGAGAGGTTGAGAACAAAGGACCCACCCTGGGACCATGTGGGTCCCTTCCCAGCTGGTATTCAGGCACAGTGTGCAGAGTGGAAAATGGAGCTGAGGCTGCCCAGGTACCCATCTGATTTGACTGTCTGCAACGAAGGCTGAAAGGGGGCCCTTGAAGCTATCAGATTCACTCCTTTACCAGCACATTTCTGGCCCATTGAAAAGGATCTTTTCACTACCAGGCTTCTGATAAGTCTCATGGAACAAATCTCTGTGTAGGAGGTAAGCAGGAAAAGGCCACCTCTGCTCATGTACTCTCACTCATTCATTCTACAAATACTTCATGACACCCTATCCTGGGCATTGGGGTGCAGTCGAGCTAGGCTGGAGAAAGCCACACAGGATGCAGCCTTCACACTGGTCTCCTATCTCTTTTCCTGTTCCCCTGCATTCCTTCTCCACACAGTAGTTAGTGATCCTTGCTAAACAGCTGATCCCTAGCTTAACTCCTCCTGAAGTGTCCTTGAGGTCCTATGCAGTAGGGAGAGGTGGCTGAATGGATAAGGTTGTTTTGAATTTGGGGTATCTGGTCGATTTCTGGCTGTCTCTGTCACAATTCCCAAGATTAGTCCAGAGGGCACTGGAAGTTTGAGTGGTGTGGGGGCGGATGGGTCAAAACAGACACACTAGATCTATGGTAATATGACTCCCAACCCCAGGTCTGTTAAGCTGCAGGCTGCTCATAGGAGAAATTCTTTATTTGGATGCTTCAGTGACCAAGAAGCACAGCATAAGCACACACACACCCACACGCAATATGTGAAGGCATTTCACAGGCAAAAGGATAGAAAGTGGGGGAGGAGGCTACAAAAGCAGCTAGGGGCTTTTTTGACCCTATTAAGAGGGGCCTCTGATGGAGAACTCCCTAGAATTTTTTCTGGAAACTCCCAGTGAAGCCTCAGGCCATAAACACAGCAGAGGTAAAGGAATCTAGATTTGGGCCCGGAAATACACGTCCTCACTGCAGAAATCTGCATCAGCTTTCTGTTCCTTTCCCGGGGGGTCCCATTGGCCTTCCTGGTACCCAGAAATCTCCAGGTGGGTGACAGGGAAAGATTAGCACCACAGCTCCTGGAAGGGGGATTTGCTGCACATGGGAAGGAGCAGGCCAGTGGGGCCCAAGGCAGCAGTGAACCTCTAGGCTGGCTGGCATGAGGCAGTTTGCCCTTAAGGGCACAGAACACATGGAAACTTGCATGTGGGAGATTGCCCACTTGTCCCTGGATCAGAGCACTGCTGATGGAGCAAGAGAAGGTCCCCATTGGAGTGTCACATGAGCTCATGGGTACTGCGGTCTTCTCTGGCTCCTGCCTGCCCCCAGCTGCTGCAGCTCTTTAGCACCATTCAGGAACTGTGGAGAAGGAATAGGAGAGACAGCAGTGCTCTGCCAAAACCATCACTGCTCTGGTAGGAGACTACTCAGTAGACAGAAACCTACACAAATGGCCAACATCTGGTCCCAGACTCAAGGAAGCCCACCTTTTGTGGAGGAGGGGGAGTATTATATCAGTTCCAAACTACCAAGTGGCAGCTGTTTCTTCTATCTGCAATTTCCCACCCTGAACAGTCTGGCATGGATGTTCTAGGTTTCCCTGGAGATGACTAGAGCCCAGGGAGAGCTTAGGTCTTTAGCTGTAGACATTGATCCAAAACTGACCATCAGAGTAAAGATAGGCCATGGGGCCTTGGAACATATAGTCCAGAAGGCTGTGGGAGGAAGGTCATCCTTCTATATATCACCCAATGAGACCCCAAATCTTCTCAAAACTTGGCCTGATCTACAGGGGCTTTCGCCAAATGGAGGAACAAGAATGGGGGGCAAACTGGGATGGATTGCAATTGCCTGGACCAATCAAAGGTTGCAGTGGCCCAAGCCTGCCTTAGATATATGTACTCTCCAGTGTCAGAAAGGAGGAAAAGGGAGCCAACGGCTGACAAGTCACGGGATGCTGGCTCATGGCTGGTTCAACTCAGGAGGCTGGGCAGAAGCATCTTTAGTTTTCAAAGGTGGTGGAGTCTTTCTGAATGGATTGCCCTTGCATTGGAATCTGGCCCAGGGGTGATGCCATTACTTTTGGTGACCTGTAATTTGAGAAGGAACAAAGGGTCAGTTTGTGGTGTGATTTTGAAGGTGTTTTAAGTAGCTTATTCTAATGATACTATGCTTTTCCAGAACTGGGAGCTCTCCTTTACTGAAATCCATTACATGCTAGGCATAATGCTGGGTGCTTTGCTTCTTTCATCTTATCTCATCCTCTCAGCAGTTCTACAAGGTAGGGATTATTAGTACCATCATCTTGGTGGTGGTGATGTGCCATGGAGTCGGTTCCGACTCATAGCAACCCTGTATAGGGTTTCTGAGGCTGTAAATCTTTATGGGAGCTGAAAGCCTCATCTATCTCCCACGGAGCAACTGGTAGATTTGAACTGCTGACCTTGTGGTTAGCATCTCAGCTTGTAATCCACTACACTACCAGAGCTCCTCATCTTACATATACGGAAACTAAAGTTCAGAAGTTTATGTGAGTTGCCCAAAGTCAGTCTTGAAGTAGTAGATTCACGACTGCAGCCTATGTCTTTCCACTATACTAAAATCATTTACACTGAGGCCACATGACCTAGATGCTGCCCACCTCACCAAGCTCTTCGGGTACCACTTTCCTCTCACACCCAACCTACAACGTCTCTCCTGCTGCTCTTTATTCCAATCTCTGGCACCTCCCGTTACAGGTCAGGATCTGCCTCTACCACCAGAGGGAGGATCCTAAGGATTGGGGACATATAATATCAGTCTTGATTCCTACTATAGTGCCAGTACTTAGAACAGGTCATGGCACATAAAAGGTCCTCAATAAATACATGTTGAATCACTGAAAGCTTATCTCTAATCGCTTCCTTTACTGATGCTAGATATTTTATATATATAGAATAGCCTAGGAAACCAGAACCTGTCAGAGAAAGAAAAGTCAAGTATTTTCCACTAATAGAGAGTGATAGATAAGTGATAAGATTGTACCCTGTCAAAGGTGAGGATTACTTGTTCTTAGAAAAATTTGTGAGACCTGGAAAAACAAGGCAGTTCTAGCAAGTTCTGGCTCTCAGAGGTCTCAGTGTATCTCTAAGGGTCATATTAGCCTGTAAGGGGAAGCTAGTTAGTTCCATTTAGTAGTGGCAATGCAAAATGGAATGGACTTTGGAGTTAAACAGTCTTGAATCCTCTAGATCTAACTGTGTGACTTTGGACAAGTTACTTCTTCCTGACATTAGGTTTCTCTGGATTGTACTACAGGGGTCTGAATTCAGAGGTGCTGTTGAGAATTAAATGAGATAAAATTAGGTACTCAATAAATAGCAACTATTATTACTACAGGAGCATGGTGGCTCCACACGATAAGCACTGGACTGCGAGCCACAAGGTCCAAGGTTGGAGCCTGCCAGCTACTCCATGGAAGAAAAATGAGGCTTTCTGCTCCCACAGATTTAAGGCCTCAGAAATCCTATTCAAGGGTCAATATGAGTTGGAAGCAACTCTACAGAACTTCATGACAATTATCACTACAGCAGAGAAATAAGAGGCTCTGAGAGATTCACTGACTTACCCAAGGTCAGATAGTTGGAAAGTGGTAGAAAGAGAGAATTTAAAAACACTAGTATTTTTAAGTCGTGGTGGCACCAGGGCAGTACCAGGAGTGACCCAGGTGCTGGTGTTCTGGTTGGCTCCAGATACTCTTCAGAAATTGCTATCAGCCAGGTCTCAAGGAGGTATACTGAAATATTGTGAGTCCCAGGCTGGGTTGCTGGCATTTGTCTCAAGTCTATACCTAACATAAGCCTTAAGTCCTTCCCCACAGCCATCAATTAAAAACATATCCACAAGTAAAGAGAAAGTCTGCTACAGTGTGGGAAAGGGGACTCCATGCAGAGTAGAGGGGACCAAGAATATTTTTGGATCCAACACTCTACTTCTACTATCTTTAACTCATTTGGCTCATTGAGCAATGCAGACTCAAACATCAAAGTCAAAGCAATCATTTCAGCAGATCTGTCTGCTTGAAACTCAAGTTTCCTCATCTATAAAATGGGGCTAATTCTGGTCTCAGAAGGTTATGTTGTAAAGAATAAACAAGGTGATTCACAACATTTGGCCCACTGTTCACACTATACATTTCCCTCCTGAGGACCGAATTCCATGGGGAATCCTCCTAGCCATCCCTCTCCTCTTCCTCACATGGTACCACAAGCCCTTCTCAGCATGACGCCAGGGAAGAGCCTAACTGTGGAGTCAGGAAGCTTCTGTGTGAATCATGGCTCTGCCTCATGACGTCACTTTAAATGATGGTTGCCTATATCTGAACAATGGGGATAAGAATCCTTCCTTCCAGGGCTGTTGTGAGGATTACCTGAGAGAATTTGCTTGACATGTGGCCTCCAACAGAATAGGAGCTCAGTGAATATTAGTCATTTTCAGAATTATCAGCAGCTGTAAGACCTGTTTCCTTTACAAGCACTTAATCACAATCCATAATTACTAGTTGTTTGCTTACTTACTGTCTGTCTACCATCAGAATGTAAGGTCATGATAGCAGGGATTGGGTCTATCTTGGTCATCACTCAGAAAGTGTGAATAAATGTTTGATTGGTGAAAGAAAGAACCTGGTCACATCTGGAAATTGTCTATAGAGGGAGCTCCTGTCACAATATTAATGGCAGCAGAGACAAGTCTTCTGGCCAGTGAAAAATGTTTCTCTACGCAGGCTGCTGCTGTTGTCGTTTGTATTACGTGCCATGGAATTGGTTCCGACTCATAGCAACCTTGTATAGGGTTTTCAACAAGTGGCTGATGCACCTGTTAACTCTTCAGGCTGATTGTTGTTGTTGTTAGGTGCCATCGAGTCGGTGCCAACTCATAGCGACCTTATGCACAGCAGAATGAAACACTGCCTGATCCTGGGCCAACCTCACTATTGTTGCCACGCTTGAGTCCATCGATACTGCCACTTAATCACCCCTGCTGGGGCGGGGGTGGGGGGTGTCTTCCTCTTTTTCTCTGACCCTCCACCTTACCAAGGTCAGGAAATCCAGGCACTCTTACTGTACTGTACTGTTCAGGAAATCTATGCTAAAACTTTCAGCCCAGGAGGTTCTAAGTTTGGGGAGCACCTAATGGGAGAAAACCTTACAAAGGAGATATTTCTTCTGTTAATTGAGAAAAGGCTGCCAAGGTTCCATTTCAGCTGAGGAGAAGCTGGCTTGGTTGGGATTCAGGAGCCCTGTATCAGACCCTTGAATTTCAAAGGATGGTTACTCACTGGTTCTTGTGCTTGAAGCCGCTGACATGAGCTTGGTATTGCTCTATGGAGTTCAGCACTATCTTACATGTCTTGCAGGGGTAGCCCTTCCCGGCTGAAACACACAACAAAATCAAGATGTTTAATTATCCAATAAGCAGAACCTGGAGACTGGGAAGGATAGATGCCCTTCTGAGAACTAATGGGCAGGGCAGGTCAAGGGGTAGCCTGATGAGAATCCATTGCATGCCAATGTGTTCCTTGGGGTTGGGAACCTCCTCATTATCATTCCCTTCTGTACCCCCCCGTCCTAGCTCAGAGCCTAGCCCAGAGTTGGCTAAGTAAAGAACAACAGAACAAAGAAGTGACATTTGGTGTAACTGTCTTCTCCACCTTGACTGTGCTAAGTGCTCTCATTAAGGCTGCCCTTCATTGAGAGGAGTCTCTGGGAAGGTGCCACTCTCCTCGGGCTTGCAATAACAGTAATTAGTGAGAATGCCTGTTATGAAAATCAATCTGTCTTTCTGCTTGGGGGCTCATAGACACCCTGTCTGCCTACCAGAGCTGGACTCCTGGTTCTGCCTTCTTGTGACCGTGGTTAAATCCCATTCCCTCTCTTATCCTTAGCTTTTCTCAACTGCAAACCAATTATATCATAACTTAAAATCATAATACTTACAATACAAAACTGTTATTTTCCAAGTGCTTGATATATGCCATTGGCTTAATATAATTTTTTAAAATGTTTTATTGTGAATTATGTGATAGTTTACATGGGAGAACATTGGTTTTACATTCATTCTATCGTATATCATCTCATTGCCATGGTTACAATCCCCTCCATACAATCCTTGCACCGTGCCCCCCAGGTCTTCAGCACACAGTCGCTCTCCCTCTCTGGATCTAAAGTCTCCAGCTGCTCCAT